GATTTAGAAACACATGCACATAAGAATAAAAAAATAAAAGGGAATGGTACTGTTATTTAGTTGTCCGTGTATAAGATTTGAGGTGGAATGTTTCTCTTTGTGGAAATACAGTATTTAACTTATCTATTTCATTGAACTTACCAGCCCACCAACTGTCTATAGAAATGCAGAGGGGGTCAGATTCATAGCCACAGTTTGTCCTTCTCCCGGGGTCAGCTAGTCTACCTGAGATCAGAAATGCACAGTTGTATTTGTTATACACAGTTCAAAATTAGTCATAATCCTCACACATCTGGGTAGATGTTCTTTGTAGATTCATGAACATATTTTTATGAATTACTAGGTTTATATGCCTACCACTCTTTATTGCTTTTTCTTTCTCATCTCTGGATCGTGTTCTTTTCCTGAACCACAGCACAATTTTTTACTTTTAAATTATAGGTCTTAGATTTTTTTGCTTTTGTAAATTTTCATGTTTTTATTGCCTTCTACAGAGTAAAATTATGGAAGCACTCAAGTAAAAAGAAGTGGCTGAGAGTCAAAGAAATCATTGTTCATTAGAAAATAATCTTTCTTTTCTTTGACAAAGGGAATTGCTCTTTCTCTTATCTTTCTCGTTGGCTATGTTTTCGGTGTAGAATGGGCAACGAGTATCAGTCTTTCTCATAAGCTCCTTCTGTCAACCAAAGCAAAATTATCTTTTGACTCATGAATATTTTGTACCAAAACACAGCTTCTGCATATACCTTGTGCTGAAAGGTGCCTTATTTCCCAAAGGAAATGATCACTTGAGAGAAAGTTCAGCATGAACAAGGTGCTGCTGGTTTATAATTATATGGTCATGATCAGGTGACCACAATTACATCTCCAAGAAACTCTAACTAATTTGGCATAATCTTCTGTTTTTACTTTATATCCACTTGATAATTCTATTAATCCTAGTGCTAAGAAAAAGTTCACCTTCACATGAAGCAGGATTCCAGTAAGTATTCGTAAAATGCTCACTAGGTTAGATTTGATTTCTTTCTGGGGTTGGTCCCTATGTCTTAGGGTCACTAATGTCTCCAGTAGAAACAGTCCACCCATGAAGGAGGGATTTGTGAAGAAGGGAAAGAGGAACTAGAGAAGGAATGATTATGATGAGAAAAAAATCAATTTTTAAAAACATGTCTGAAATATAAAGAGTCAAATACTTCCTAGTTATCCTGATGGATCATTAGACTGAAAAGAACGGTATTTCTTACCTGAACTGTATTGCCAGCCATGCTGAAGAGGCAGTCCCCATAAAATGTTTTGTTCATTTTCTGGTCCAAATTTTGCAAAATAGGTGGCTGTCTTATTCAGCAGGACTCTGTACATCCCCATTCTGTCAGTGAACACCCAGGGGTCGATAATGTATTTCCCATTCTCTACCCTGTAGTCGCTGAACTGACCAGGACTCTCCTTCCA